ACTGTTCCCTAAGGTCTTCCAGGTCCCCCCAGAGGGACCCTCCAGGCCCACTCCCAATACAGCTTGTCTTCCTTGAGCCAAATTCGATTCTGAGCACTTTTGGCAGACCCAACATCATAGTCGTTCCTGGAAAACACTCTCTCCCAACTCATTAACCTAGCTCTTGCTCTTCGCTTCAACTCCTCTGACAGAGGGGAGTCTTGAAGGCTGAACCCTCCCCTGATGGGGTCATCTGGTGACTCAGGCGCAATGACTGGAGTAGCTACATTCACTTGCCCAAGCGGAGCCATGGGTTTTAGGGTTATGGGGTCTGCTGTGTTACAAACTCGCACAAGAACATTACCCCTGTTGCACTGCAGAGCCTTTGTAGTGATCATCTCTGGAAGGATCTCTACCCCAGCTGTCTCTCCTTTGTTCTCCATTGCCAGCACCAGAAAGGGCCCCGGCTGGTCCCAGACCAATGTGACTCGGGCTTTCAAACAGGTGACTGTCCCTGTCTGGAGCACTTTCTCTTCAGGCCCATTCTTCCAAACCTTCCCCACTTCCTCTTCTGGAGTCCTCAATTCTCTGACAACCCTTTGATAGACTTGGCGCAGTTGTGGGTACCGTGTTCTGCTCAGCTAGTGGAGTAAGGAGCCTGCATACTAGGTTGGTATTGGTCCCAATTAGTAGGGACTACTGCTTTATCCCCAAAGGACCGGGGCAGATTATTGCTAGCGTCTCTGTTCTCCCAGTTAAAGTTGATGTTATGTCATGTTTATCATATCCCCCCCTTAATCGCCTCTTTTCAAGAGAGAATAAATTCAGTTCCTCTAATCTTTCCTCATAGCTGAGCTCCTCCATGCCTCTTATCAGTTTGGTTGCCCTTCTCTGTACTTTCTCCAGGTCCCCAATGTTCTTTTGTGAATTGGTGCCCAAAACTGAACTACATATTCCAGATGAGGTATTACTAATGATTTGTACAGGGGTAGAATATCTCTTCTCTCTTATATTAAGAGGTATAGACTCCAGAGAGATTTTGCTTACTTTAGAAACCACAGCTTGGCATTGCATGCCATTATTAAGCTTGTGATCTATCAGAATTCCCAAATCCTTATCCACCATTGATTTCCCTAGTTGTACTCCCCCTAGTATGTCTGATTCGTACATATTCTTAGCCCCCAAGTGCATAACCTTACATTTATCAACAATGAGATGTAAATGTAATATATATGTATGTAAAAGCACTGCATAAATTGACAGCGCTATATAAGTACCTGTAATAAATAAATAATATCGCTCTGGTGAGTTTATTCAATTCATATTCACTATTATGCACTTTGTTTATACAGTATGCACTTTAGAAAAGAGGGTAATTAATGACTTTATATAAGTGAAAGCTGATTGCTTACTGCACTTATTACACTTTTGTGAGTACATTGCACTTTCATTTAGGGGGGTGTTATATATAATTTTGCATATTGATTTTTTGTATGGAAGCACTGTAGGCAGGGTTAGAGATTGGAGTTTTGCACATTACATTTTTAGAGTGACATATATTGTGGGATGTGGTTTTAGTGCAGGCAATCGCTATTCCATCATTTATTAGTCTTGACTGGTGATGGTTACATCATGCAGAATAGCAGCTGCCAGGAGTGATTATATTGATTTATTTTTTTTTTTGTTGTTTAGCACTATTTTTCCTGTGGCGCAGTCCGTAATATATTTATATTATATCTGTCCTCCATTGTGCTTTGGACTAGGGCAATATAAAACTCAAAAAGAGGAAGAGTACATAGTGCTCTTTGCTACAAATATATTTATTTTATTTAAAAAAACTCAATATACATCACTTAACTCACTTAAGTGCAAAAACAACTTGTCAGGCATTACAATGGATCGAACACCCCTGTGTTCGGTTCACAGCCAAACATTCAAACCTAATGAATGTTTCACCGTGAACTTTGAATGCAATGCCAGTCTATGGGACTCGAACTTGTAAGTTCAAAAGTTCCCATTTTGAAGGTTTATATTCAAGTTATTGGCCATAAAAGGGGTATGTGGACCCCACAGTTAAAAATTCAAGAAAAGTGCGTGGGGTTCCCCCTTAAAGCCATACCAGTCCCTTGATCCAAACACAGGCCTGACAGGCCAGAAAAGGGGGGGTGGGATGATCAATTGCCACCCCTCCCTGCGGCTTACCAGGCCATGTGCCTTTGGCATTGGGGCAGTGTCCCCATGCCGATGGAGACAAGGGCCTGTTCCCCACAACCCTGGACCGTGGTTGTGAGGGTGAGTGGGTAGGGGTGCTCATTAGCATCAGTGTACCCTTTCCAGTAAGGGGGCACCCTGATGCTGCCCCCCCTTGTGAATGAGTAAGGGGTACTTGTACCCCTACCCATTCATTAAAGAGTTTAATTTTGAAAAAATAAAGACCCCAGACTTTTGAAAAATTCTTTTATTGGAAAAAAAAAACAAAACTGTTTGGCAAGTCATTTAATAAAAAAAGAGCCAAAAAAATTGTTACATCATTGTAATCCATCATCAATCACCCCATCCAGCATTGTTGTGATGATGCCGACTCGCCAAAATGTTTTTTAAAAAGGCGCCTGTCGACCCATCCGCATCCACCGAGCACTCACCACAATCTGACATTTGCCTGCAAAATGTAAACAATTGAACGGAGCTAGCGGTGATGATGGCGGTGGTAGTCTCACCACTAGCTCCCCCCAATTGTTTACATGTGACCCGCAACTGTCAGACCTATCATATTGCGGCGAGTGCTTGGCAGGCATCGTTTTTTTATTTTGATGACAACATTGTCGGGACTGATGATGGATTACAACGATGGAACCATTTTTTTTTTTTATATATAAAGGCCTTGTCAAAAACTGTTTTGTTTTATGTTCAATAAAGTAATTTTAAAAAGTCTGGTGTCTTTATTTTTTTATTGAATTTAACCCTTTAGTGAAAGGGTAGGGGTACAAGTACCCCTTACTCATTCACAAGGGGGGATAGTATCAGGATGCCCCCTTATTTAAAGAAATACTCTGGTGCTAATGACTCCCCCTGTCTGCAGACCCCCACAACCACCAGGCAAGGGTTGTGGGGAAGAGGCTTTGTCCCCATCAGCATGGGGACAGCGTCCCAATGACAAGGGCACATGGCCTGGTAAGCTGCAAGGAGGGGGGATGCTTGATCACCTGAGCCCCTTGTTGTTTGGGGGTGGGGTTCCCCTTAAAAGTCCTAACAGGTGTAAATGGGCTGGTAAGGCTTATAGGGGGAATCCCACACACTTTTTTTTTTTTTTACTGCATGGTCCCTCCTAACTTCCCTTCCAGACCTACAGGGCCTGGTATAGCTTATAGGGGAAAGTTACGCACTTTTTACCCCCATTTTTGGGAGGTGGGGTTTCCCTTAAAAGTCCTACCAGGCCTAAAGGGCCTTCAGAGAGAACTCCACAGACTTTTTTTTTTTTTTTACAGTGGAGTCAATCCTACCTTCCTACCAGACCTAAAGGGCCTGATAGGGGGAACCCCACATGCTTTTTTAAAACCCTTTTTACTGAGGGGTCCCTCCTAACTTTACTACCAGCCCTAAAGGGCCTGGTATGGATTAGGTGGTGGGAACCCCTGTTGTTTCTTTTTTCTTTTATGTATTTCTTGTTTTATTTGTTTTTTGCCTATTTTTTTAATTATTATTTATTCATTTGTTTATTTTTCTGGGGAGAGTATTTGGCAGTGTCCAGCAACACACTGCATAAGGCTGCAGTGTAAGCAGCCTTATATAGTGTGAGGTGCGGGAAAAGAGTTGATGTCCTCTCACTGTAACCCTTCTGAATCATTCTTGATGACTTCAAGATTGGACCCTGCTCTAAAAATTCTAATTTTATGAACCTGTGAAAAAATGGGCCTTAGGTGTTGGTGCCTCTGCACTGTAACCCCTTACAGTTACTCTTGATGAGCGCAGGAATTGGCACTGCTCTAAATAACTGAAATTATATGCCCCTGTCGCATAGGTGTGGAAAAATTGGGCCTTGGGTGTTGGTGCCTTAACACTGTAACCCCTCACAGTTACTCTTGGTGAGCACAAGAATGGGCACTGCTGTTAAAAATTAGAAAAGAATAGTACAAAAAATTCAAATTAGATGCACCCGTCAAACAGGTGCAGAAAAATTGGGCCTTGGGTGTTGTTGGTGCCCTAAATCAAAATCATTGCTGGAAGGAATATGATATGCAGCATAGGCAGTCTTCAAGGGATCCCAGATCCCTAACAAATATAATCAGTTACATCAGCATCAGGGTTTTTTTTTTTCATTAATATTTTATTAAATTTTACATTTCATCTATTCCATTCCAATATAAAAATTCAATGTCACTAATTCAAATATTTTCACCCAAAATGCAAAATGTCCCCCCCCCCCTCTCCCAATCCATACCTTCCCCTCCTTCCCCTTCCCTCCACCTCCCCTCCACTCAGCACCCCTCCAACATAAAGGTGATTTATCTCTATTATGTTTGTGTACTATATTTGGTGTCATATACCACCTCGTCAAACATTTCTAATTCATCTCTACATGTTTCATACTTACATTACCGTGTGTTAACTTATAAAACTTTTTTTGTTTATCTTTTTCTATTTTAACTCCTAATTCTCTTTCCCATTTCCCCATATATGCCGGTGCCATGCTTGTTATTAATTTAGTAAGAATTTTATATATTTTTGAAGTTCCGTGTTTCCCATCCCCCCGTGTACTAACAAAAGTTCAAATGGATTCCACTTTTCTTTCTTCCTTAACCACCTCCCGCCTGCCATATAGTCCAATGACAGGCGCAAGGTGGTTTTCTCGTTCTGATAGGCCGTCTTTTGATGACCTTCCATTCTCACCGTGCATGTGCGACTCAGGGAGCGCGCAGCATGGCAATCGGCGGTGCTCTGTGTCCCTCGGACACAGCGGATCACCGATCCACAGAAAGAGCCAAAGATGTCGGCTCGGTCATGTGATCAGCTGTGTCCAATCACAGCTGATCACATGTCACCAGGGAAATGCCGGTTATCTGCATTTCTCTCCTCTCGAGCTGTCACGCTGACAGCTCGAGGAGAGGAGAGCCTGTAATCGGCATTCCGCGGAGGGGACATGTACACTGATCATCAGGGCACTGATGATCAGTGTGCCCTGATGATCAGTGTGGCCCCAGAAGTGCCACCTATCAGTGTACATCAGTGCCAGCAGTCAGTGCTGAACAGTGCCATGTGCCAGTGCCACATCAATGCCACATATCAGTGCCCATCTGAGCTGCCCTTCAGTGTCACCCATCAGTGCCGGTCAGTGCCACCTATTAGTGCTGCCAATCAGTGCCACCTATCAGTGCTGCCAGTCAGTGCCGCCTATCATTGCCAGTCAGTGCCGGCTATCAGTGCCAGTCAGTGCCACCTAACAGTGCCATATATGGCACTGATAGGCAGCACTGTTAGGTGGCACTGACTGGCATTGTTAGGCGGCACTGACTGGCACTCAGTGCTGCCTTTCAGTGCCCATCAGTGATGCCTGTCAATGCCCATCAGTGCCACCTACCAGTGCCTCCTCATCAGTGCCCATCAGTGCCACCTATCAGTGTCCATCAGTGCATCTTATCAGTGCCCATCACTACAGCCTCATTAGCGCACATCAGTGAAGGAGAAAAATCACTTATTTACATAATTTTATAACAAAAACTAAGAAAAACATTTTTTTTTTTCAAAATTTTCAGTGGTTTTTGGTTTGTTTAACAAAAAATAAAAAAACCCAGAGGTAATTAAATACCACCAAAATAAAGCTCTATCTGTCACAAAAAAAAAAATTCTTATGGGTACAGTGTTGCATGACCGATCAATTGTCATTCAAAGTGTGACAGCGCTGAGAGCTGGAAATTGGCCTGGGCAGGAAGTGGGTATAAGTGCCCTGTAGGTAAGCGGTTAAGGGCCTCGGGAGTTTTTCTATAAAATGTTTCATTTGTAAATATCACCACTCATCTACTTTAATAAACAACTTCTTTTTCCTTTTCCCTAAGGGGCATATTTCCTCACCATTCATTAGATCTCTTAATTGTGCATCTCCTTTTTTTATCCATCTCCCTGCAATCTTTTCATTCCCCGGCGGGAAGAAATCTGTGTTTACGATAGGCATTAACATTGAGTTAAATTCCCACCCCATCTGTTTGTGAATTGTGTCCCAAACTCTCATAACCATTCTTGTGAGTATGCTTGTACTATCCATCATTCCACGACAGTGAGGTGGTAACTATATTATTTTACTCAAATGTGCTTTACTTAATATGTTTTCAATATTTATCCAACTTTTCCCCTGTGCATTGTGTATCCAATAAAAAATTTTTGTGCTATTAATATTGAGTTATAATAACTTTTAAAATCAGGAACACCTAATCCCCCATTTTCTTTATCTCTAGTTAGAACTACATAACTTATTCTAGGTTTTCTATTCCTCCATATAAACTTGATCACAATTTTTTAAATTATCCTAAAATACTGTTCTGGCAGCTTTATTGGAATCATCTGAAATTTATATAAAATTTTTGGAACAATTACCATTTTAATTAAATTTATTCTTCCTAGCCAAGATATACCACCTATCCCAAATTTTCTCATTTCTTCTTTGATTTCATTTAATAATGGAATATAATTTGCCTTATATAATTTCTTTAGGGATATTGTTAACTTTATTCCTAAATATTTTAGTTCTTTTTCTTTCCACGAGAAAGGAAAATTCCTTTTGTAAAGCCTCTCTCTCTCCTTGGAAGATTTATATTCAAGATTTCCATTTTAGTTGGATTGATTTTTAAATTAGACAGCTCCCCATAATCCTTCAGTGCCTTCATTAGATTGGGTAATGTTATCCTTGGGTTACCTACATAGAACAGCAAATCATCAGCATATGCCGCTACTTTATGCTCTGTCTCTCCTACTCAAATTCCCCTGACATCTATGTTTTTTCCTTATTTTTGCCAAAAGGGATTCTAAGGACAGGACAAACAACAAAGGTGACAGTGGACATCCCTGCCGGGTCCCAATATACATCTTAAAGTTCTCTGATATTTCCCCATTAACCTTTTATTGCTGCCGTTGGTTTACTATACAGTTTCTTTATCCATATTCTCATTCTAGGGCCTATCCCCAAAACTTTCAATGTATCTAACATTTAAGCCCAATCTAATATGTCAAATGCTTTCTCAGCATCTATCGACATTAAAAAAACAGGACATTTTTCTCTTTTACTTTTTTGTATAAGCAACAACGATCCTAATTCATTGTCCCTACCCTCTCTCCCAGGGACAAACCCCACCTGATCCATATGAATCCACTCCGGCATTAAGTCTTTTAACCTATTTGCTAGTACTTTTGCGTATGGTTTAGTGTCTATATTTAATAAGGATATTGGTCTATAACTAGAACACTATGTACTATCTTTCCCTTCTTTTGGTATTATTGTTATATGAGCCTGTAGGGATTCCTCTCTTATCTCCATCTCCCCTCCCAGTGCGTTCATATATACACTCAAGTTAGGTATCAATTGATCTTTACATTTTTTATAATATCTCACAGTGTACCCATCCGGTCCCGGACTTTTCCCTGCCTAATGCTCTTCAATGCCCTTTGGAATTCTTACTCTGATATTGGTCTCTCCAGGGAAATTAACTGCTCTTCTCTCAATTTCGGTAACCCCGCTTCTTTTAGGTATTCCTGTCTTTTACTTTTTTCTTCATCTTCTCTTATGGACCTTTGAGGATTAATATTATATAATTTACTATACTACTCTTTAAACACTTCTGCTATATTTTTGGGAGAATATTTTAATTCTCCTTTATTTTCGCTTATTTTCTCTCTATAGTTCTTACCTTTCTTTTTTCTTTGAGCTCTCATCAAATACTTTCCAGGTCTATCTCCCCACCGATATCTCTCGCTAATCATCTTATTAAATACTCTCCTCTTTTCCTCTTCCATCAAATTATTTAGTTCTTGTTTTTCCATAACCTTCTGCTTGGTCTGTTTTATTATTTTCTTTTTATGTACCTGTTCTAATTCAAACAATTCTCTAATAAGCGTGTTAATTCTTTCATTCCTTTCCTTTTTTTCACCCCAATCGCTATTAAGATTCCTCTAATATAGGCCTTATGGGCTTCCCACACAGTCGCAACAGACACCTCCTAAATCTCATTTCTTTCAAAATATTGTTCTATTTCTCTTTTAATTATCTCCTCCGTCTCATGATCCTAAAGAAGTGTCTCATTTAATCTCCACGTGTTTATCTTTTTATGTTCTTCTCCCCATATCAACCTCAATGTGACAGGTGCATTATCCGATAATGTTAGAACTTCTATCTTTGCTTTCACTAAAGACTCAATGGCCCTGATTTACTATTGTGCCTAGGCACATTTCCATGGGCGAACGTCTATTTTTTTAGTGGCGACCGTCTACTTTTACACCGCAAAGAGATTTACCAAAGAGAGCGTCAACAAGTAGACGCCAAATCGAATTTACTAACGAGACACAGACCAAGAATCAGACTCAAAAAGCAGACTTGCTAAGAGGCATGTCTAACACCATGAAAAATCACTGCAGAAACATGTTCACATTGAAATTCGCTTTGCCAAAAATCAGGACTTCACTTTAAACAATATCTGCCATTTCAAAAAAAAAAATTTAAAATGTGTTAAAAATAGTTTTTTTTTTTAAGCAAGTCGACACAGTGAAAAACTAGATGCTTGTGGAGATTCTTTGGCTGATATAAATGCGCATGTGCAGAACACATTTTAGACGTCCTCTGTGGGCGCTTGCTTTTTAGCCGTTGTTCAATAGTAAATCTCTGTGTGGAGTCCACTGACAGACGGCATTTGGTCGCGTCTACCGTGTTTAACAAACAGCGCTAGGCATATTTTTATGTATTCTAATTTGATTTCCTTAGTTCTATTGATTCTATTTTTGTTTCTTATCCTTTATAATTATTTCTGTAATGATTTTACTTATTTCGAAGGTCTAGATAATATTTATTTTGACAGCTGAATGTAAAATAAAGGTCTGCAATAAAAAAAAACTGTGTGGGGTCCCCCCTCCCATCCATACCAAGCCCTTCGGGTCTGGTATGGATATTAAGGGGGAACTCTACGCCGAAAGTAAAGAAAACAACAGCGTGGGGTTCCCCCTAAAATCCATCACAGACCCTTATCCGAGCATGCAGCCCGGCAGGTCAGGAAAGGTGGGGGCGAGCGAGCGCCCCCCCTACTGAACCATACCAGGCCACATGCCCTCAACACGGGGGGGTGCTTTGGGGCAGGGGGGCTCCCCCTCCCAAAGCACCTTGTCCCCATGTTGATGGGGACAAGGGCCTCTTCCCCACAACCCTGGCCGGTGGTTGTGGGGGTCTGTGGGTGGGGGGCTTATCAGAATCTGGAAGCTCCCTTTAACAAGGGGCCCCCAGATCCCAGCCCCCCCCTAGGTGAATGAGTCTGCGGTACATGGTACCGCTACTTATTCACAAAAAAGGAAAAGCGTAATGGAAAAAAACACAGTACACAGGGTCTTTGACAAGTCCTTTAATAAAATAATGTCCCCCGAAGTAGATCCAACGTCAATCACAGCGACCCGAAAAAAGAAAAAAAAAAGGTCAGCTCTAGACTGAGGCTAGCTGCCTTATGCAGGAGCCAGTCTTGCTGACAGTTCTTAAATAGGTAAGGGTGGGGCCAGCTTCCTGACCTGCCAGGCTGCATGCTCGGATAAGGGTCTGATATGGATTTTAGGGGGAACCCCTCGCTGTTTTTTTTTAATTTTGGCGTGGAGTTACCCCTTAATATACATACCAGACCCGAAGGGCTTGGTATGGATGGGGGGGGGACCCCATGCAGTTTTTTTTTATTATTTATTAGTAATTACTTTTGTCCCTGCAGAGAGCTGTGCTATTATATTTTACATTAAAAAGTATAGAGGTTACAACTAGAGATGAGCGAATTATTCAAAAATTCGATTCGACTGATTCGGCGAATTCGTGAAAAAATTTCGATTCGAGTCGAATATATTCGCTGCGAATTTTTAACTTATAAAAGGGTGTTTCTAGGCTTCAGAGAGCCTTTATATTAGTGCAGAACACTGTACCTTTAATTTAAATGCCCTTGGAGTCTGCTGGGGAAGAGAAATAATACTGACAGTCAGTATGACATGCAGATGAGTGCCGTCAATCTTAGAATCACCGCACACTTCACTCATTTGGGCAGTCACGGGGCCAAAACCAGAGTGTGGAGCCACAGTGTGGCGGTGGAGGCAGCAGCAATGGGAGGCCATACAGCACCCTATGACAAAAATGGAAACCA